GGTGATAACCGATTACCAACAATTGTAAGCCTGACTTACAACAAGGATATGACGCCAAAAGCTTCGCCCACGGCTCTTATTACGTAACTCAGACTCCATGGTTCCGAATCCACAATTTGACCTGAATAAAATAAAATGGAGACACAATGGAATTATTATTGTAAGTCAAGCAGACCAAGCCATTTGCATCGATTGCACAGTGATCAGTGTTGATTCACATCAAATATAAAAGTCCATACATGAGGATATAGAAGCACTTTGGATGACATCACAGCTAGGTATTCAAACAGTTTCGAAAGTAATATTGAAAGAAACCGTAATCCTCCGTGATGCCTTCGTTCCGTAAGTTATAAATGTAATAAGAAAGAAAATGTAATGCGTATCCAGTGATGCAGATAAAACAGATCAAAAGTGTCATAAGCGATGCAATCCTTCCTTTCAAATTCTTTTACGAAACTACGAAACAAACGCACAAATAACATTATATTTTGCATTAATAACCACAAGCTCCTTGAGTGGGCCTGCTCGCAATGATGCAGCCTTTAGAATAGGTAACTATTTGTTCTTAGGAGAATCTTAAAGCAAAAACCTTAACAACAATATACCACGCGACTTACCCGAGCTAGTGACGTAAGGCATCGTAGCTTTAAAGCAGATGCACAGCACCTGATCATTTAAAACAGCAAACTGATGGAGCAAAATAATTATGAATTGAACTCTTCATTCACGATCACTATTGTATTTACTTCTATACTTTGTATTGCTACAGACATTTTGCGGTTGTCCATGCATTTTTAGGAAATCGAAAAGCGAATTTTAACTATTTTTGAAGGATTTATAAAGACGATATAACTCGATCACTTTTGGGTTTGCTTATCAAGCACATAGCAAATCTATGCATTCAAAGTTTAGGGTTAAGTAACTTTACCTGTTCTTTAACCCCAGTCTACCGAGAAGGGAGGAGGTTGGAAGAAGACTTATTGGACATTGTTCTGTAGATACCCCTGGTGAAACCTGTTTCCGCCCAAGGTATAAGAGTTGGTTTTGAGAAGCGTTTACGCATTCTACCTCCACTCCGTTTAACTTGGACTAGCACCTCCTTCCTGTGAAGCACAATTTAAAGGACCAGTATGTGTGACTGCTTTCGTCTGATATTTTGGTTTATAGTAACAGAACTTTGCAAGTTTGGTATGCGTCAGCTACATTGTGATCGGTTCGTGGCAACGCCTTTGAGCCTCAGTACACTTTGATGGCATCGATTCCTCGCAATGCGTCGGCTTGAAACAGCTTCAAGTTATACCATAGATGTAGCGCTCCGAGACTTCCCACTGCGCGGAAGAAGGCCGGGAGAAACAAATGGATTAAGCCGAAGGCCATCCCATACGTTCAAGAGCCAGACTACTCTTAAAGTAACCGCCAGACATTAGGCGATTACATAACAAAAGCATTATACTACCCCTCTGTCTCCTTGGTACACCTCCAGCACTAACCATCACAACATATTCGGTGCTGCAAGGAAGCACCCACGAGCCAGCCGCGTCGATTAACGTCTACCATGAGACTGAGGAACGGAACTTGACCTCTTCAATAGCTTCAACTAGACATGGAGTTACGTTCGACCTGATTGTCAGATTCGGGGCCGCATACATCTGTTAACCACCAACCGCCCCCAGGACTCGACGACGGAATTCTGGTCCAAAACAGATGTTATAAGGAAAACGGGATCATACACAGTCCCGTATATAAGGAAAACCGTAGTGTTAGCCTCGATACCGATACACGGATGGGGTAGGCGAACTTCGGACATGAAACTTTTTCCATATTGTTCGCGTTGGTGTTGCTCCACTGGTTAATAACATGTCTGTGGAACACGGGGACAAAATGAAGACACACGCAACATCGTTCTCACACTTTTTTTACAAAGAATTCAGAGATTCTCCCGCCACTGATGTAACTGCACCTCCTTCACCCCGTAGGTACATGCAACAAGCTGGGATCTCGAGACTTCCTACCGAGTGGAAGGTGGCATTAAGTGGAGCTTAATGCGCGTATTCTGGGGTGAGCAAAGGGATTAGCCCACGTGCGAAGGACCGAGACGAATACCAAAGCAACCACCAGATATACAGGTGGTCCCACTTTGTGAACTTGCTTCTTTACCAATAATTTGTTATTGCTTTAGTTAGTAGGTACATTACTTAATGACCCCAAAGTCTGAAGTCACATGAGCCCTCGATGACGAAATCAATAATGGTGCGGAAGATCGCTTACCTTATGTTAAAGTGACGCAGAAATCGACAGCACATCTTTTTTTTGGTAAGGAATGGAAGTGATGCGAGAATAATGAGAACTTCATTCAGATGGGGAGACACACCATTTCGTCTGATACGTAATACTCTTCGGACATTAAAGGCGGATTTCTGCCGAGAATTTGATTTGGATATGAAACCGTCGAAATCACTAGTGGAGGACAGAAACAACTCTCGGCGCAATTACGAGGATGAGGATGATGAATCGGACGAAACCTTCGACTCTGATGAGTCGTCTGAATCCGATGAGTCATCAGAATTTGAGAGTTCGGATGAGGAGGAGACGGAGGAACTGGAGACGCCTTCTGGACGGGATCGTAAATGCTGCCTCTGTTGTGCGTGCTGCGAATGCTTTCTTTGTTTTCGCTTTCCGGGTAAATTCATCTGCGACAAGCTGTACTACAGAATTCAGCGTAAAATCAACGGCTGTCCTGCTGCGTGTCCTACATTCATTCCCAGAAGCGTTGAAGAAGAGTGGCGTTTCAAAGGCAAATATGGAGCCCGATTTGCCATTTGCGAAAGCTGCGCTAGTGCAGAGTGCGTTGTGGGTCTCAAATGGCTAGACGCAATATGCTGTCCCATTTGTGCTCTCTGGGAGATTGTAAAGGGCATTGATTTTGGCTATCGCAGATTTCGAATACAGGCCTACATACACAGGCACCATGAAGCTGTCAGAGGCTTCAAAACCATATGGGTCTGAGCTTCTCTTGAAAGTGACGCCATTTAACACCTGAAGCCTAGACACTCATGAATAAACTGAATTGTAATTAAGAGCAATAATGACAACTTTAGGGAATCAATTTTGACAAATTAAGACTAGAGCAGTGTTATCTGCTCGATGAAAGCGTCTTATTACA